TTGAGAGTTGAAGGACCAAGATCCTCTGGCCTATAGAAATATGTTGAGACTAAACAGTTCCCAATTTGATAACTTACTGCAGATGGTAGATGGAATGCTCAAAAAAAAAGATACGACAATCAGACCGGCAATACCAGTTACCATGAAATCGGAAATAAAATTACGTTATCTAGCCACGGGCGATATTCTTTGAAGTCTAGAATACCTGTTTAGAATTCCGGAATCAACTTTTTTGGAGTTTTTACTCGAAGTGCTAACAGTAATTTCTCGCGCCCTTCGACCGTTTATTGAGGTAAGTGAAAATTATGTTTTATTAGACAATGTATTTCAAGACAATTTATACTATGTTTCGACAATTTATACTATGTTTTCTCCAAATGCATTAATAATAGCCTGCTGCAAAACATCTCCGTCGCCATCGTCATCATTCAACGATGAGGCACTAGTCGAAGGAAAAGATAATGGTGAGTGTCCACTTTCGACACAATGTGGGACCTGCTGCTCTAAAGATGACAGCTTAAAACGAATGATGCAGTTTTGAATTTATTGTTGTAACAAGATGGTGTATCGCTGTGGCAGAAGGCGGAGCTCAGATGCAATAAATTTTCCGAACTGGTCATAGAGCTTCTCACCTGATGACTCCTTGGCAATTTCATCCAATTTTTTAATAGCTTTCGATATTTCAACAGGTGTTTCTTCGGATGCTGGTCGTTATTTTGGACCTTTTCGTTGGCGTCGAGAGTGGTCCCATTTTTTCAGGTGACTTCTTAGGACGTTCTTCTGAGAAGACGCCGTAGTCATTTTCAGACTCGACACTTGTATTGTCTTCATCTCGTGCTTTGCTTTTACTAGTTTGTAACAGTTCCTAGAAAATATAATGAAATATAACTTTTATTTATTCTCACGTCTCAAAACAAGCTGATGAATGGAAAGAAATCGAAAATAAATTTCTTCAGCGTTGGAAATTTCTTAGATGTTTTGGTGCAATCGATGGGAAACACGTTATCATTAAATAGCCTCAGTGTTCCGGTTCAGTTTACTTCAAGTAAAACCTACAGTATAATATTATTTGCTATGGTTGATGCTGATTGCTATTTTATTTAACAAACGTAGTTGAAAATGGCCTAGCAAGCAATAATGCTATATTTAGAGATAGTACTTTGAATATTGCGATGGAAAACAAGACTCTTGGCTTGCCTAAATACGGCGTTATTATTGGAGATGATGCTTTCCCTTTGAAGAAAAATCTTATGAAACCGTACAGTAAAAGGGGTCTTAGTGCTGCGGAAAAGTGGAAAAGTATTCAATTATGTCTTTCTCGTGCCAGACGAGTCGTATAAAATGCCTTTGGCATATTAGTATGACGATTCAGAATATTTTCAAGACCTATTGATTTGGCGCCGGAAACTATCGATAAAGTCATTTGGGCTGCTTGTTGTTTTCATAACTGGCTAAGAAAGACTGGTCATGCTAACTACATGCCACAACAAGCAGTAGATAGAGAGGACTTGCATACCGGAAATATTACACATGGATTTTGGAGGGAAAATGCTAATATATATATATATATACAGAATGGGGTCCCACATATATGCAATAAATGAAACCACATACTTGTTATCGCCTTTGCTGACGATGTACAAAAAATGAACATAATCGGCCCAGTAATTAGGTCAAAAAGTAGAGTTTTAATTTTAAGCATATTTGAACCCTCTATAGAATTGGGTCACTAAGTCAATGATTCAATGAACTTGAATCCTTGAATATTAAAAAGCGACGTTGCCACGCAGTGCAAACTATTGGTATTGCGACGTATCGACAGCGGTGTCTTTTGTCGGCGTGCATAAACAAGCGGCACGAGGCACGCGGCGTACTTCAAAGGCGACGGCGCAACGGCGCGCGCGCCTTTGTCATAGAGTAGGACACCTGTTATCGACGATTAGCTTCTTTCAAAGGGAGTAAGTAATAAACGATAAACAAAAAAAATGTTTAGCTTTAAACACTTTGGGTATGGTTTTTTTAGAATTATCGTGTTATTATGATAATCCTAAAAATACTACGACCTAAGTATTAAAGCTAAGCTTTAAAGCTTTTTTTTGTTTAAGTGTGTTCTTGTAGATTTAGAGATAATAAATTATTTTAACATGATAAAAAACCCATAAAAACAAGCAATTAAAAAGTCATACATACTTAACCGTTTCCCAGGAAGTCACAAATCGGTAGTTTCGTAAGTTCAATTGTACAAAAATAAACTTTTTTTTTAAATATCAATAACTTGTCGATTGTTATGAAATCAAAAATCAAAATTACTTGTATTCAAATGTAGTAAGTAAGTAAGCGTAAAAAGAAAAGTATCGATAAACGATTATTGCACCTTGTGGCCGCCCTATTTATTACTTTTATTATTTTCGCCATTTTGGAATTTGGAAGTTTAGCTTCCAGTTCACGCGCAATTGTTCCAGGATACAGGTGCGTTTCGCTGCCTACGCGCATCGTAATTATTTATCGTAAGATAATTATCGTATTATCGTAAGATAAATACAATTAGTCAAACAATTATTTTACGGTGAAATAGACATTAGTTGATTGACTTTGTGTGTGTAAATAGTGTTTTAAGTACGTTAATTTTTTACTGTGATATTGAAACTACTTTACTTTTTTTGACCTCACTCCTCTAGACTTTTTTTTTATGTGGCTTTATTAAAAATGAAGTGTACTCAAAGATTTTCGAAACCGAAGATGAACTGCGCAATCGTATTGTTGCCGCCTTTAACAAATTAAAAGCCCTGGCTCTGGATCCTGAACGAAATTTTTTGAGCAAGCTTCAGGACAACATTATGCGGCGATGTAACTTGTGCATTCAAGAACGATTTTGAAAATTTTAAAATATAGGGTTTCATTAAATTTTGCTACTAATATGCAATAATATTTATTTCGTTCAGTTCCATTTTCGCGAAATAAAAAAGTGGCGGTAAAATACCTAAACAGTTTAGTGAGTAAGTTTTTATTTCGTCGCACATTGTCCAACGAACCATAGGCCGTGCCGACAAACAATAACGCTGCCTGCCGCCAACCGCCATGCCACCCGCGTGCAACGTTGCCACTCTTCCAAGGGGTCAAGGTACGTTGTCTAAACAGAGTGTTTACTTTTACTGAATTTATTTTAATATTTATTTTGTTTGAAAATTTCACTTTTTTATTTTACGGGTTTTAATTTAATATTTAATTTTTCTACACTTCTATGGACTAGTATTACTTGTGGTTTAATTTATTGCATATATGTGGGACCCCATTCTGTATATAATATGCAGCCTATTAATCTTTTACTTGGAAATCATTTCAGTCGAGCTGCTGAGGAGGTTAGAAGACAATATTTTACCCATTATACAGAAGAAAATTCTCTGCCGTGGCAGAAAAAAATTTCGCTTCATTGAACCATACCAACTTTGGCGTGTATACTTCGTCAGTATAACATCCAGTTTTCTGGGATTTTTCAATTTTATTTATTTCTTGTCTGTATACGTCTTTAATTGATATTATTTTTGCCTTCAATTGTTTCACATCCATACATGCAGTTAATGTTTTTCGTTAAGTTTAACTAAAAGATTTTTGAAACATTCATCCTTTGCCTTTGTGTTACAATAGTCTTTGTCTTTAATATTTCATAAAATAGAGTACTGCTCGTAGGTGTCGAGAAACTATTATATCACGCGTGTTCCATTTCATTTTTCAGTTTAAAAAATTAAACGAAAAACGCAGACAGCACACCACACAAAACGAACACGTGGTTCCAACTCGCTAGCTAGTTCGCTACTGAGCGAGTTCCTTGACTGTCGTTCTCTTTCTTCTGAATGGTTGAGGCAGCAGGAAATCATAGTTTGTATCCTGGTATTTACTCTTAGACACAGTGTAGCTATTGTTAATATGTAATTAATACATATTTAAATAAAATTTATATAAAGTTGCCATATGCATACCAAAACAAAATTGCCACACAAAATATATTTATCTTGGAAAAGATTGCATCGAATTTAGAAAAACTAGTGAATAATGCATCTAGGTATCACTGACTTAGGTAATTAATTTTATCAATAAATTCATTAAACAACACAGATTCAAAGGACATGCATTCTTAGATGTTGTAAATAGCTTTATACCAACAAGGAACCAAATAACATGTGTCTTTGTTAAAGTATAGGATTTAGCTATTTTTTATGCAAACAGGAACCAACTCGCATAGTTCTACATTATTGATAAAAAAAATATTTTACAAAGGACCGTGTGATATGAAAATTTTATGAAAAAAAAAAAAACAATTTCAATTACTTATTAGATTGTCAGGTTACCATCAGGCATGGATCTTGTTAGTTTATTGAACAACTGTTGTTATGTGGGTTGATAACCTTGTCATAGAATTGTTTTATTCTGTTAAAATTATCAGATCATTTCGATCTTTACAGGGTCTATAGAAGGTGCATTTTAAAAGCTTTCTGCATATTTATCTCAATTTTGGCATGTGTGTGGATTGGTTCCTGTTTGCATAAATAGGTCCAATTGTGAATCTAACTGAGATATGATACAAAATTCATTGCTGTTCTGAATTCGCGAGTGCTCTGGCGTTATCACAATTTGTCAGGAACGCTGTAAGTGATTGTCTATAAAATTTGCTAGGAAGGATAAGAGAATTTTGTCAGACATTTTTGATTCTTCTGGGTTTTCCTTTAAAGTTTTGGTCTTATGCACATGGCTTTTAAAAATAGTTTAGGGAGTTAGGAAATAAAAAAATTGTTAAATGAGAATATACTGACAATAAATTTAAAGACAAAAATGTAAATAAATAGAACAAAAATAGTGTGAAATTATCGCTAAATTAAAGTTAACTTACAATATCACAATCACTGCGGTGAACATTGGTTACTATGCGGGTGTCGTGTTCCGATGACGTGCAGCGGAGTCGAGTTGCCGTGAAACCGAGTGAGTCGTTCGGCGGCGGCTTCCACGTGTTTGTGCAGCAGCTCAGGGCAGGCTCACACGAGTAAGGTAGAGACTGACAGCCTGATGAACTTCGGGTTGATGATGACCCCACAAGCTCGTGAGGCGGAGACCTCGTTGGTGCCACGGATGACGCATGCTTACACTCGTGGAATGGAAACAGCAATAGTGACGAAGTATTAGATTTTATACAAGAGAGGGAATGTACTATGAAGGAAAAATTAGATATAAAACTAGACAAGGTTATAAAAATTTTAGGTTTGACATGGGATAGAAAAGATGATAAATTTAAAATAATTGTAAACTTACCTGAAGCCCAGGGATCCCTTTCGATGTGGTTCGCCTGTTTGACCCATTTGGTTGGTTGTCTCCAGTAGTCATATCAGCAAAAATATTAATATAAACATTATGGATCTGTAATTTAGGCTGGGATGATGAATTACCACCGCATTTGATCGAAGACTGGGTGAGATATAGGAAAGAGCTGATTTATTTACAATACATTTCTTTACCACGATGGTTTAATACGACGTCGCAAACCTTGGAAGACATGGAAATACATGGATTTGCAGATGCATCAGTAAACGCATACGCTGCGGTTGTTTATCTCAAGGTAATTAACAATGCCTCAATACATGTCATGATAATTGCATCGAGGACTATGGTTGCACCTTTGAAGCAAATATCTGTTCCTAAATTGGAATTATGTGCTGCAGCTTTACTAACAGAACTCATGAGTGATGTTGTAGATCTATTGTCCATCTCTAAAGAAAGAATTTTTGCTTGGTTCGACTCAATGGTAGTTCTATCATGGTTACAATCGGAACCAAGCCGGTGGCGAACATTCGTAGCAAATATGGTGGCTGAGATAACACGGGTATTAGACAACAATCACTGGAACTACGTTTAATCTTCTGACAACCCGGCTGATCTAGCAAAAAGAGGAATTAAAGCGCATGATTTGGCTAATCAAGATATTTGGTGATCTGGTCCCGACTGGCTTAAACAAATACAAATAGAAAAGGACACATTGGAAATTCCTCAGAATTAGAAATCAAAAACTCATTTCATAGTTATTTTGAAGGAGAACCGATTTGGTAAAGATTTTCTTCGTTGTCAAAAATGAAACGAGTTTCCATACTGCAGAAGGTTATTGCCGAACAAAGGGAAAAAGGAAAATTTTTTAACAGTTGAAGTTAAAATGATGTCAATAGAAATAAGATGCGTTAAATTTTATCAAAGACAAATTTAAAGACAAGAGGTAGAGTGCTTAAAAAGGGACGGAAGAGTGCGAAGTGGAAGCTCATTGGCCAACTTGACACCCTACTTAGATGAACATGGATTGTTGAGGGTTGCAGGTCGATTGAATAATGCAGAGTATTTATCGACGAATACTAAGCACCCAATTATCATCCCAGACGACAACGGTCATGCAAAAACCTTACACGGGGGCGTACTGCAAACGATGGCCTTTATAAGACGCAAGTTTTGGTTTATCAATCTAAAGCCAGCTGTAAGAGGATTTATCCGTAATTGTACAATATGCATAAGAGACAAGGCTAAAACGAAGCAACAGCTCATGGGACAATTACCTGCACCGAGAGTGACTCCATCTCGTGCGTTCTCCAGCAGTGGTGTAGATTATGCAGGCCCTATACAAGTAACGACATCAAAGGGTCGAGGTCATACATCTTCAAAGGGCTACATTTGTCTTTTCGTGTGTATGTCGACAAAGGCAATACATTTGGAATGTGTCACCGACCTTACTTTGCAAGCATTTATTGTAGCTTTTCGAAGATTTGTCACTAGACGAGGCCATTGTTCACACTTGTGGAGTGACAGTGGCACTAATTTTGTAGGCGCTGCAAGAGAACTGAAACGTATGTTTGAAGTTGGTAAAAACAACATGGCTAAGGTAATAGCTGAACTTTTAGCCAAAGACGGCATCACTTGGCGCTTTATACCACTTAAGGCTCCAAATTTCGGCGGTTTATGGAAAGCCGCTGTGAAGTCCGCCAAACAGCATCTTTCTAGAATAAGTGGTGCAATTAGGTTGACTTACGAGGTGATGACATTATTGGCTCAAATTGAAACATGCCTCAATTCGCGACATCTGTGTCAAATGGATGATACGCTGGAGACTCTTAATCCATTAACACCAGGACATTTTCTGATTGGTGAGCCACTAATTGGTCTTCCTGAAAACAATTATGTCAATAAAAACGTTAATCTGTTGACACGATAGCAGTTCACTCAAAATATAATTCAAGATTTTTGGAGAAGATGGCAAGCAGATTGTTTACAAACCTTACAACAAAGATATAGGTGGCCAAAGGTTACCACTCTGCAGTAATTGTTTTTCGACCTTCTAAAACAACTGTTGTGTAATGACCTGTCCTTTCGAAGAACGAGGCCACCATCTTTTTTGCCCACGCTTCGACCTCTCTTCACTTTAGCAACTCCTCCGAAGGAAACACCCAGACAGCAGACTGTGTCTTAGTTTCAAGATCATAACAATAAATTCAGCTTTCGTCACCCGTAAGTATGTCGAACACAGCATTTGAGTAACCTCCGTTAAATCTTTGAACCGTTTCACGACATCAATCAACACGACGGAGTTTTTGTCACTCTTAATTAGTTAAGAGGTATCCACCGGGCACAAAGCTCCTGACCGCTAAATGTTCATGTAGAATTTTGAACACTTTACTTATATCGATGCGAGCTTGTCGGAATCTGCTGATAAGTCACTTTTTGTCAGTGTCTATCATACGCCGCACAACACTGATGTTATCTTCAGTCGTCGGCCTTAGAACGCCAACGACATGGGGCTTCATCGTGAAAGGCCAATCAAAGTCTATCATAGCTTTCTTTCTTCTGTAACCATAGAAATAGCTGTACTGGGCCGAGTTGATGTTTCGCCTGTAGAAGTATATTCGGGTTCGCGTAAATAAATCGGCATATAAGTTCTATAATTTCGTATTTCGCGTCAGATTTTCTATGCTGTGGTATTTTTTTAGTCATCTATAAATGAGAGCAAAAACATTTGTCGCTATCGTTTTCTAGCGATGATTCTTTGTTATTTATTCTTTCAGTCAACATCTTTATAGCTTTATTAGTTCTTCATCTACGTCTGCAGATTTTCTTTTTATAGTATACTTAGACGGTGACGGTCTGGTATCACTCAGTTTTGAAAGAAATTGCAGCTTATCGAAATGTACATATTTTCTATTTGATGTTGCTCCTGACCCACTTTTTAATGTTTTTTGTTTATTCAATTCACGAAAGTAGCAATCCCTTTAAACTTTTCCATTTTCATTGAAGTTGAGTAGCTGTAAAAAGATATAAAATAAATATAATGTAAATGTGTAACCTTTTTGTGCGCAATCTCTAGGAAATTGCAAAATACGTACAAATAAAAACATTCTGATTTTTCAGGTATTTAGCATCAGGTTACAGCTTTACAAGTTTACACCACTCTTATCAACAAGTATGTAAGGATCGTAGCAAGTGGAAAGAACTGGTCTCTGCCTACCCCTACGGGAAAGAGGCGTGATTATATGTATGTATGTATGTATGTATGTATCAACGAGGACTTTCAACAATTTGCGGGATAGTGAATGAAACATGTCAAATAATCTTCGAAATTCTAAATGCCAGTTATATCCCGAAACTAAGTCAAGAAGACTGGTTAGGTGTCGCAAATAGATTCTTCAATAAATCCAACTTTCCTAATTGTTAAGGTGCCATGGATGGTAAACATATATGAATCATCCAACCAGAACACTCCGGGTCTTTGTATTATAATTATAAACGTTATTTTTCTCTTATTCTTTTAGCTGTACGTGATTCTAATTATTGTTTTACCTATATAGATGTTGGATATTACGGCAATGCCGCGGATTCACAAATAGAGAATTTGGGTAACGAAGACTTGACATCCCAAACAGCGCATCGATTGATAATAATGGGGAGTTACTGCCTTTTGTTTTTGTTGGGGACGAAGCATTCGCAGTTAGTAATTTTATTCAAAGACAGTATAGTAACAATCATTTAAGTCGACAACAAAAAATATTTAATTATCGGCTGTCAAAAGCACAACGGTATATTTAATGTACGTTTGGTATCATGGCCAATAAATTTAGAATATTGCATAGATTAATCTATATCAATATTATATTCGCGAAAAATATTGTTCGAGCTATATGTATTTTACATAATTATATAATTAGAACAAAAACCATTCAAGAAACCAGTAACACATCAACATTATCAAGAAACCACGCTAGTAACATTTCAAATACAAATTAGTGATTAGATATATGAAACAAGTTATTTGATTATTTTACTAGCTCGGATGGCGAATTATCATATCAAGATAGAAAAATATAAATAACTCACGTGCTTGATTTTTTCAGCCGTAGATTTAATTTCAAAAGGAGACGGTCCAAAATTGTATGAAGCGTAGGCCTAGTTTATGTACTAATATGGAAATAAATTAAAATAAAATATTATACCACTTTTGATCATTCAAATCCACGAATTTGCCTTAATTTCAGTGGTATTAATATTTTATTTTCACCAAAAACTGCAACACTAAGGCCCTTTTCACATGTATCCGGTCACGGCGCGGTCGCCGTGCCGTGAATCCGTGCTAGCTCTTTTTCATGTATACAAACCGTATACACACGGTCGCCGGCTATGGTAGTCGCAGTATTATTAAGAATTTTGGGGAACGACAACGTCTTTTATCATGGAACAAAAAAAGATAGCCTTACTCCTATTGTATCGACGTCGTCAGCGTCGACTTCATTACATACGTCAGAGAATATGTTGGATACATCCGTACAATACTTTGAGAAAGGAAAAGGGAGATTTTTACACAAAGTTTATAGATCTTCGAGAACATGAGGATAAATTTTTCATCTATTTTCGGATGTCAAAGAGCTCATTTGATGAGTTACATGGACGTCTAAAAGACTCTCTGCAGCATCAAAGAATCGTAAGGGACTGCATCGAGCCTGTTGAAATGTTGGCAGTTACTATTAGGTAAGTAAACAAACTAAGTAAAATATACCCTTTAATTTTAATAAAAACTAGAAAACATGTTAATTGACAATTTGATATATATCAGTTGGCAAAATCAATCTCAGAGAAGTCGGAGCCTGCGTAGGATGATTGAGAGTCGTTCGAAGACGGATTTTCGGAATAGAAGTGCTCATAATATTGACGTGTACTTGGTGATATCATATTTCCTTCTGCTTGTTTTTGTATTCCTTGAGGTTCATAGTAAATTCTAGATGGACCAGGTAACGGCGATTGAGATAGTGTCGGGCGGGATACTTGGGTAGTAAAAGATTGAAGTTGCGGTGCATTAAGACGACTTTGTTTAATGGTCGTTATTAGTTGTAATATTCCCATTTGGAATCTAATTATTTCGTCTTCATTGAATGATGACAATGAAGGTATTATTCCTTTAAAAAAAACACAAATGCCGATCCTCCGGCTTCTCTAAAATATGTAACAATTTTTTGTCAATTTCATCTATTTTTGGTTTACGTGAACCGAGCTGTTGTTGAGGCGGTGCTGGTGATTTAAACTGGCTGCTACAATTGCTTTCCGTACTGTCTTCAACATTATTTCCTATTGAAAGTTTTTCGACCCGATCAGTAGGTAAGCTACTCTCTGTAGGACGTTCACAAAAAATTTTGTTTAAAAACTGTAATTGATCAAAATATACGTATTTTCGTATAGTAGTAGCACCGGCTCCCGATTTTTTTACAGACTTTTCTTTGTTTAATGATTTGTGATAAGAATCTCGGATATTTACCCATCGTTTCATTACTTCTTTACCTGGAAACAATATAAAAAAAATACAAATGCTATATAGCATCATTATAACATTGCTCTGATCCCATGGTAAGTATTTATTGTTTATTTTTTGTTTCAGATACTTAGCTAGCGGGTGTACTTTCACAGACCTACATCTTAACTACAGACTTGGCATTTCAACAGTAAGCAAGATAGTAAATGAAGTATGCTTTAGCATTTGGCGTGTTATGCTACCAGACTGCATGCCTACACCTAGTAAAGAGATGTGGGAAAAAATATCCGAAGAGTTCGAAAAAAGAGCCAATTTTCCGCATTGCATTGATGCAGTGGATGGGAAACATATTAGAATTATTAATCCACTTGGCTCAAAGTACTACAACTACAAAGGATACTCCTCAATAGTTTTGATGGCCGTAGCAGACACAAACTACCGCTTTGTCCATGTGGACATAGGAAGTTACGGTAAAGATTACGACTCTTAAATATTTAAGAGATCATCGCTGTGGAAATCAATCATAAGAAATGAACATGAATTACCTACTAAAAAATGTATTAGCGGAATACAAGACGTTGAAGTGCCATATTTCCTAGTTGGTGACGAAGCATTTGCACTTCACCAACATTTACTTCGTCCGTACGGTGGATGTAATCTTGCAATTAAAAAAATAATGTTTAACTACCGCCTAAGCAGAGCTCGCAGATATGTAGAATGCACCTTTGGCATCTTGTCTAATAAATGGAGAATATTCCACAGACCAATTAACGTCAAACCTGAGTTTGCAGTCGCGATTGTCAAAGCTTGCGTTGTACTACACAACTTTGTTCGTGATCGAGATGGTTACCAGGTGGAGGACACAGACTTTATTACAGGACTAGAGGATGCCCCAAGACAAACCCAGTCACGCGGAGGACTTACACCAAACAATATACGAAACATATTGAGTGACTATTTTGTATCAAATATAGGGGCGGTCCCTTGGCAAATGTCAAAAATATAATGTAATAAAATAACTCACCAAACTTATTCTTTTCATTATCATCTAATTCTTCGAACCTACTATTTAATCCTATACATACTTCTTTCCACGCTTCTTTTGTCTCGTTCCTGTTTTATAAGACGCGATGGTTTTATCCCATAAAGTAGGACGCGCTTCAACTAGCGAGATCAACACATCAACATCGATTTCGACAGACATTCTGCAACAATCGTCCGTCCGTTCCCCTATGATTTGCCTGTCGAATGGCATTTGCGCTCGCAATGCCGTACCGCGCCGGTGTTCATGTGAACGCGTCTATACAAGTCCATACAAGACTATAAAGACGGTTGCCGCGTCAAAACCGTGCTTATAGTGGATAAGGACGGCTGACACGCGGTCACGGCACGGTCGCCGTGCCATGTGAAAGTTCTCATTGTTGGTCATATATTACTACTTTATACGGCACGGCGACCGTACCGTGGCCGTGTACATATGAAAAGAGCGTAATGGCGAATTGAAGTCGTTTTGATTTGACGTTAGCTGTCATCTCTGATATCTCTGATATCACCTATAGCCTATCAGTTAGATTTATTATGCAAAATAGCTAAAATGTCTCGACACTAGTAGGAAAGTAAGGCAAAAAAGTTGTATTTTTTGAGCAAAACACGAATAACGTGTAATAAAGATTGTGTATGTGCTTTTTTGATCTTAAAACAACTAACGTTCTTGTTGATATTTGTAAAACAAATGTAAAAAGTACTATCTAATTCCCGACAAGAGGATTGTTGAGATAAATCAACGGTGTCTACATACAAAATTATTTCATTGCATTCATTAGTGTGTACTAAAGCACACTTCAGTGCCAGGGGCATCCAGGACTTTTTTTCTTTTACATGGAGAAATGGAGCCTAAGTGTTTTGTTAGCTTTTACAAAAATTTTGTGCCAGATAGCTCAAAGCCGACATTATATGTGAATAGCGGGTAACTCCGTTTCTCAATCCTAAAAAATTCACCCTGAAATACTACTTTATTTCACTAATAATAAAGAATATATTTAACTCATTTTACTTTAGAGTGGCTGTTTTAAGGTGGATAAACAGAATAATCCTGAATACTAATTTCTGCTCAGATATATGTGTCTATCTGGGCTGCTGAAGTGCTAAAGTACAATCATAGATAATATAATTTATTTGTTACAATATGGTACATTACAGTTGTTACAAAAGAATTCGCATCCTAAATACGTTTCCGGCGTACAAATATTTTCATATAACAGATCCTCAGCGTGTCAGAGTATGCCTTGAGCCTTGACAGACATTTAAAGCCTGGATAATGTCATAACAAAGGTTAACAGTCCTATGAATTATAGAAAGTGAAACATTAGGTCAATCATGTTTTGCATACTTAAGGTAATATAAATAAAACAGCTTAATTTTTAATTTTTTTTATTTATTTATCCTATTGAATTATTAATAATTAAACTATTTTTACGGATTTTATCGCGTTTAATTAACTTATTTTATATTCCCGACGTTTCGGTTGCTTTCCAGCAACCGTGGTCACGGGGGACTGAGGTGATTGACGTCCCGATGTCATTGTTAAACCGGAGTACCTTCAGCTTTTTTAATTAATAATTTTGGTCCGATCTACGCAGAATGAACTAACTGTGTCTTGAAGTCTTGCAGTGGTATGCTTGGGTTTAGTTTTAATTTTATGAATTACAGGATCCCAAGCAGGTGGTAGTACCCAGCCTCCCTCTCTATTGAAATTAGGATGTTTCTTAATTTCAATAGCCTCACGTATCATCCTTGGCAGGAATCGATGTTCTTTCGCGAGAATTTGTGGTTTATCAAATCTAATGTAATGGCGGGGGCCGTCTAGGATATGATCACAAACTGCAGACTTCCTGGAACGTTGGTGCTTCACGTCAGCTGTGTGTTCACCACGTCAGCTATGTCTATAATAGCTTAAGGAAACATGTTTCTTTAGTACATACCTGCTTACTGATTCAAAATGTGATTCTACAGAATATAGATGTCCGATATCAACGAAATCGAAATTTCACGTAAATCATTAAGTCCATAAAACAAAAGCAGAGTCAAAAAGTAGTAATCCAAAGTCCAAACAAAAAACCAAATCGCCAAAGAAATCCACAATTAAACACATTCACGAGTTCAGAACAAGTTCGGAATAAATAAAAATATCATTAGACAGAAATAACATTTGTCAAATGTCATTTATGACTGAGGAAGGGCACCATCTTGTAAAACCATTAAAAACTTGGGATTGCATTTTTATTTTTTGCAAGTTATTTAGTTTGATTTATTCTCTCATTTTATTTTTAACAAAATCCCTGAATTTTTCTTTTTTTTACGGTATACTGTACATAGACTGGGCCAGAAATGGTCCGTCTCCTTTTCTATAAATTTGTTGCACTAAAATTCCCATGCTTTTTTCTTATGAATCCGATTAGAATAACTTTCAGCACTACTATACCATATTGCAGGGTGATTTTTAACTTCCTCAATAATCACTTCAATGTCAAGTTGAGCTGCATTCATATTGAGGTTCAATATTAATTAAAAGCGTGTCACTTCTTTACGCAAAAATGACGTGCGTGTGTCACGCTAGTGGCGATACGACTGCCCTTCTAGAAATTGTATGATAATCAGTTGCGGCGCGGCTAGCGCACCACAGTGGTGCCACTGCAGCGCTTACTCACGCCTCTAATTTGAAGGCGCCCTAAGAATCTAATTTTGTCATCATCAAAGTCCATATTCCTCCTTTTGAAAATAAGTTTTCTCTTGTCCAATAGTGAATTTAAAATATTATCACTAGGGGATCTATTTTGAATTTCTGCTCCTTCTAGTGGTTCTTCAACCAGAGGTGGGTCTTCTTCATTTACTTGCTGATTATCTTCATTATCATTCTCATCACCTAACAGTGTAGAAGTTCATCTCTTGTATAGTTTGAATTTGGTGGGTCATTATCATCAGAGTCATCAACTTCTAGTTCGTCTCCTGACAGCCAACCATCTTCCAGTTGTGCTAGATAGTGTTCTATGTCTCTCTCTTGTAAATTACAAAAAACACAAAAAACAAAAACAGCAAAAAAATATACAAAATGTAAAATTTTATGAACAAAAATGTCTCCATACTTTAGACGTGGTACAGTAATGACCATAGTACATAATGATCTAAATTTACACAATATCAAATCGACATAAATTTCAATATATATTTCATGTTTTCGTTACAAATATTAGCAGATTCTAAAACATTTACCTTGTTATGAATATTTTCAACAACTCTCGTAGATCAAAGCAAGCAAAATAACGTAATTCTTTTGCACCGTTAGAACCACAGAACACAATTACTCTCTACCGAGAGAAGAACGCCAACTTCATTTAACTTGCATGCACTTAAAACTCAGAGTCTGTTCGAGGAGCTCGTAGAATGTAAATTTCATAAAACGTTGCAACCCTCCAAAACAATAGATTTGACTGATGATTCTACCACATCAAGAACAGCGGAAAGGATTACAAGCAGCAGAAGGAAATTAAAAAAATATATAAAAATTAATAAATATATTAGGAAAGTGCAAAAATTAATTAAAACTAAAATTAATATTAAAAATTATTCAAATGTTTGTAAGGAAAAGCAAGAGTTAATTAGTAAAATTAAATTATATTCAATTGAGGTGGAAAACATGAAAAATTGTTATGAGACTGAAATAGAGTGTCTTAATTCAGAAATTTTATCACTTCAAACCTCATTACAAATTATGTCAAATAAATATAAATCTGCAGGGAATGAGATAAAAGAACACATACTGGCCATGGATAATCTGGTAAAGTCCTGCAAATATAACGAGGAACGTTTTGACTCCTTATTAAAATATCAAAATGAATATCAGCGCTCACTGCCAGGTTCTTTAGGGACAGTGTGTGTTAATAATATGACAAGCAGTAATACTTCATTTTCTTTACCTACACTCTATGATAGTACCATAACAAAGCAGATAAATTTAAAAAGTAATCTATATAATGAAAAAAATAATATAATTGTGTATAGTGATGACATAGGCAAAAACTTGGGTATATCATTGAATAACTGTTTAAAAAGGCAACAGATAAGTAATTACTGCATGCCTGGAGCATCATTCAGTGATATTATGAATAAAATTTTAACTAGTAAATTTAACCCTAATAGTATATTAATAATTTTTGTTGGGAGAAGAGGCAATATGAACAAGAATCAATTATTAAAATATATTGAATATCTCAATAACATAAATGTGGTTAAAGTTATCTTGTTTACATTGCCTTACATAGAGGGGTGGCCACAGGAAAATAAACTAAGACATAATTTAAATTTAATGATGCATAACTTGACATGTAATAATAACTTAAATTTGACATTTAATTGTAAGAATAATAATGATAAATTTCATTTAATTGATATTAATAATTTAACTAAGAAGTTTTTGACAAGAGATAGGTATTACCTATCAAAATATAGTTTAAGACTGGTAGCAAATACGCTATCTTATTATTTATATTTTAACTCAGCCAATGATTTGGCTACCTTGACACCTGCTTCTTTTGAGCAACAAAATAATTTTATATTTGATTTGGAACCAGTTCCAAGTAATTTAAATTAGATAATAAGACAATAGAGGTAATCTCTAGCAAAGATTATTTAAATAGCTTAGAATGCAACTTACCAATACATAATTATGCAATTTTACAAAATAACAATAATAAAAACTGTATCAACCTGGTGCATCAAAATATACAAGGTATGTTAGGCAAAGAATTAGAAATTGATTTATTTTTAAATAGTAACAGTATAAATATTTTATGTATTACAGAACATTGGTTGAAAGAATACAACTCCATATTTAATTTCAGTAATCACCAGGTGGTCAGTTCGTTCAATAGAGATACTAAATTACGTGGTGGCTCCTTAATATTAGCTAATAAGTCCTTATCATGTAAAGAACGTAAAGACATTGTGAGCCTCTCTGTTGAGCGTACTG